CACCACACTCGTTGTTTTGATTTTATCACTGCCTCTGTTTGTCCTTTCGATGATTTTTGCCACATCTCCAGAACTGTATCCCGACAGTCTCATTTCTCCTGCGTTGTCTCTTTCACCATGACCCACCAGCACCAGTCTGCTGTCCTCTGACAGAGACACTGGTTCACCGTGGATCAGTTTGGGTCTTTGGTTTTCATCAAGAACATAGACAGAACTAACTGCTGGATGTTTCTCATACAAATATTCAGCAGCTCTTCTGACCACAGGGTCATTTTCCATCATTACGATCTGCTGGTGGTCATACTGTGTGCTGTGATCAGCTCGTCTTTGTGGGATTTTGTAGCTGGAAACTGAGTCAGGTCGATCCATCACCTGGTAAATCTGCTGATTGTTTTGGTTGGTTTCTAAGACTGTTTGGAGGCCGCGGAGCATAAAAACCCGAATAAAGTTCTGGTGGAACTGTGTGGTTGTGTTTCCATCGAGAGAGAAAACTGGAGCCGCTTCCAGAGATGGTTTCAACATCAGCTTTGCAAGTGAAGCTCCATCAAGTCCAGACACAGTTTGTCCATCTTCTGAAACACTTCCAAATATTTTGACTACAGTGTAGCCGTCTGCTGCTGGTACACAGGAGTCGTTGAACAGGCAGTCCTTGGTGACTTTCACGGAGTAATGAGGATCCATGCTGTATTCCTGCTGGACTCTGTCACTGGTGGATTTCTCTGTGTCGGTCATGATCAGAAGCTTTTGGTTGTAGCTGTGGGAGATCTCTGAAGCACCCAGCAGCAAGTCTTCTACCTTCTGTTTCTCGATATGTGCCAAGAAGGCGTTAAAGTCCTGAAAAATGAAGCAAAGAGTGAAATGAGAGAGAGCTCCAGGATAACAGTTTTGGTCTCAGTTAATTTCTGTAAGGTGAGATTTCTGAGCATTTTTTGCATCTGTGGTTATAATGTTAAGAATCTGCTTTGCTGATGTAAACCTGCAGTTTGAGCCTGACAGCTGGCCCTGATCAGCTGTTATGGTCTCATCAATGAAGACCACCAACAGTTAACATAAGTGACCCACATTTGTAAGAAAATGTACACAACACACACACACACCAGGCTAGTTATAGTTAATTTAAACTAAACTAAGAACTGACTGAAATTATTTTGTGAATTTGGAAAAATAACTTGGAAAAAAAGCATCTGGACTTCTTTAAGTTGCTTGAAGATGTTTCACCATAAAATATCGGTGGAATATTCGTAGTTTAAGTTTTTGTTAGTTGGTTAAATTTGTTACAACAGCCTGATGAAGCTTTGATGTTTACACGACTGCTATCGAAAGGTTTTGTGTTTTTATTGTAATACATGTGCTGAGTTTCTTATATGGCTTCCACATAATATTATAATGTGATTGAAATGAACCCTGACTGACATCACCTGACATCAGGTGAATCTAACTGCAAAGCTCCTGAAATTCAGATGATTTATGTCCAAATAGTGACTGAGCATTCCAGGGTGGATGTAAGGGAATGCTTTCCTGTCATCCGACTTGGATGATGACAAAATGTTTCTCCCACTGAAAACGCGACGTCCACATAAACAGAATCGGCTTTTTGGTGATTTCCTCACCCGGATGTTAAAGACATTTACTGTCATACATTTGCTCAGGTTAGGAGATAAAGGTGCAGCAGCTACCCGCACACTAACATCTGTGATGTTTGTGTGTGAGGAGTGAGGTGGGACATTTTAATGCAAAACTATTCATTCTGTCTTATCCAAATACGTAAGTGTGCCAAATGCAAACCCCACCAGGTATGAAGCACAAGTCCTCGAGCTAACCCAGCAACCACTATGAGCTGATTTAATGCTGTTTGTAAGTCTTTTTCTTTGTTGTGCAGTGTTCATATTGAATTAACATTTTGTCCCATTTTAGAAGAAGAAAAGATGCAGATACTCAGTGGAAAGAAATGCTGATCTTTATCAGCCTAATCAAGTTCTAGTTTAGATCTAATGAAGTTCATCATTAGAAACAATCTCTGTGTTTCCAGCACTGTTTAATCTCTTAAATCGAAATGTGTGTTCATTTTCTGTCTCATGTTTACTGACCTTCTCCTTCGTAATGACATGAGCTGTGACGTTTTCACAGTCCTGAAATCCATCCAGCAAAGTTAGTGGGTTTTCTTCAGTGTCCAGCCTGATAGAAAATTAACATATTAGTATAACCTCAGTGCAGCGTTCGATACTGTCGACCATAATATCCTATTAGAGTGATTAGAACATGCTGTAGGTATTACAGGTACTGTGCTGCAGTGGTTTGTATCATATCTATCTAATAGACTCCA